TGGAATGGGTTGCACACATGGGTTCATCTATCACTTACTACTCAGACAAAGTGAAGGGATGCTTCACCATCTCCAGGGATGATGCCAAAAGCTAGCTGTATCTGCAAATGAGCAGCCTCACAGCTGAAGACACAGCCGTCTATTACTGTGCAAGAGGCACCGTGAGAAGAAGTGAATCTGAAGCCAAACAAGAACCTTCCTTTCTTCAGAGCAGTTCTTCAACTTGACTGAGTCCCAGATCCTGGATTAGTCAATGAAGATTGATTGATTTCCAATGAGAACTTCACGATGTTTTATTCTGGGTTTCAAAAAGTGTGTTGTAAGAAAAGAAAACAAAACAAAACAAAAAATCCAAGTACCCTGTCCCTATTTACAAGATGATTTGGCTTCATTGGAAGGGAATGTAGTCTTTTAGTATCATGGTGAAAGGATGGAAATGGAACTTTAGGATAATCCTATATAAAAATCTAGACAGCATACTAAAAAGCAGAGACATCACTCTGCCAACAAAAGTGTGTATAGTCCAGGCCATGGTTTTCCCGGTTGCAATGTATGGCTGTGAAAGTTGGACCATAAGAAAGACTGAGCACCAAAGAATGGAGGCCTTTGAACTATGGTGCTGGAGAAGACTCCTGCGAGTCCCTTGGACTGCAAGGCATTCAAACTGGTCAGTCCTAGAAGATATCAACTCTGACTGCTCTTTAGAAGGCCAGATGCTGAAGTAGAAACTTAAATATTTTGGCCACCTAATGAGAAGGAAGGACTCACTGGAGAAGGGCCTAATGCTGGGAAAGATTGAGGGCAATAGAAGAATGGGACAACAGAGAATGAGATGGCTGGATCGAGTCACTGAAGCAGTAGGTGTGAAAAATGAACTCCAGAAGATGGTAGAGGACAGGAAGACCTGGAGGAACGTTGTCCATGGGACCACGATGGGTCAGACACGACTTAGCAATTAACAACAACAACAAAATATTCAAACTGCCAAACACACATTGGGGAAATATGCGCTCTGAATGAAACTCCTTAGAAAATGAGGTTGATGTGTCCTTTCACCAGTTTTAATTCTGGAGGCAATATTGTCTCAAAATCCAAACTGTCTACACATCTGGAAGAGGTATTTTCGGGAATAAAATATGTATAATTGTATATTTTCTTATTTTGGAATTGTCTAGTCCATCCCTCTGCTCAAGCAGCAGACCTTATACCAGTGATGGCGAACCTTTTAGAAATTGAGTGCCCAAACTGTAACCCAAAACCCACTTATGCATCTTTGGGTGCTGGGTGGATGTTGCCCATTGGCTGGGTGTGGCCCATTGGCTGGGCGTGGCCCATTGGCTGGGTGTGGTTGTGGTAGTAATGGCAGACTGGGTGGGACTAAAAGCTTCGATCAATCAATTCTAACTTTGCAAGATTTTTTTTTTCTCATGAGAAGTTGAAATTGACTGATTGATTGAACCTTTTTTTTATTTTTGCACACAGCGGCTGAGGCCTAAAGCAAAAAGGTTTTATAAAACCCAGCTGAAGGCCTAGGACAGGGATGACAGTGCACAGGCCCACAGAAAGGGCTCTAAGTGTTGCCTCTGTCACCTGTGCCATAGGTTCGCCACCACTGCGTTATACCATTCCAGACAAATGATTGTACAGTCTGTTCTTAGAAAAGGAGGAGGAGGGGGGAGGGGGAGGATGAGGAGGATAAAAGAGTTGGAAGGGACCTTGTAAATCTTGTACTCCAACCCCCCATTCAAGGAGGAGACCGTATTCCATTTCATACAAAGGTTGTCAAATCACTTCGTAAAAATCTCCAGCATTGGAACATCCACAACCTCTGGAGGCAAGTTGTTCCATTGATTAATTGTTCTCGCTGTCAGGAAATTTCTCCTTACACTCACCAAAAAGCTGAGAATGTTAATAAAATAATGTATCATTGATGATTGGCACCAGAAAAAAATGTCTGCATATTTTAAATCTTTGCTGGAAATGAACCATTTTCTTAGGATTGGAATGTTAATTACAAAATGCACATAGAAGTGATGCTCACACAAATGTATTAGTCAATGCCCTGAGGGGCTCTTTTATCCCAACAGATATGTAAATCAAGACACCATTTCCCCTTTAAAGGAGCCCCATAGTTTTCCTTTTCAGACAACTCCCACCAACATAAACCTTGTGCTATTTCCAGAATCCTCTCTTGACAATTCCCTCCACTCATTAGAGTGAGCAAAATGTGGCAAAACATTCTCTTCATACTACTAGTCCTCAAAGGTAATTATTTCCCCCATATAGTTCCATGCTCTTCTCCTGTACGCAGGTGATCTAATTTAAAAATAATAATAATCTTTTCTTCTTAGGAGTGCAGTCTCAAGGACAGTTGGTGGAATCTGGAGGGGATGTGAGAAGATCTGGAGAGTCCCTCCATCTCTCCTGCCAAGGTTCTGGATACAACTTTGGTGGCTACAGCATGACCTGGGTGAGGCAGCCTCCAGGGAAAGGACTGGAATGGGTTGCACACATCTATCATGATTCTAGTGGAAAGTTCTACTCAGACAAAGTGAAGGGCCGCTTCACCATCTCCAGAGACAATGCCAAAAGCCAGCTGTATCTGCAAATGAACAGCCTCAAAGCTGAAGACACTGCAGTCTATTACTGTGCGAGAGACACAGTGAGAGGAAGTGAATCTGAAGCCAGACAAGAACCTTCCTTTCTTCAGAGCAGCTCTTCAAGTTGACTGGATTAGTCAATGAGGATTGATCTTTGTCTAGAGAGAATTTCAGAATATTTTATTCTGGGTATCAGAGAGTTTGCTGTAAGAAAATATAGGATGATGAAAATGGCTTAAAAAATCCCATTTCATCTTCCCTGTTTACAAGGTGATCTATCTTGAGGGAAAAAAATACAAGGAATGGAATATTGTCCTTTAATGTCACAGCAGAAGTCTGGAAATTAGTGTCATGGTGAACCTCCTAAATATCCAAACTGCCATTCACATAAAGAGGAAACACCTGCACTAAAAAAAAAAAAAATCCTTGGAGAATTAGGAATATGCTTCCCCTCCTCATTTTTGACACTGGGGGGCAATGTTGCTACATGAAATCCCATTGTGTGTGCAGGGGTGAGGTAGGGTGAAAAAAAAACTGTAATTAGATATTTTGGAGGCCAGTTACATTTTTATTTTATTTCTGTAATAATTCTCTGAAAATATGTCAAGAAACTTTCACGTCTCAGGATGGTACAGTGTGCACTGCGAAGCTGAGAATTTTCATCAAATAATATATTGTTGGTTTTGTCACCAGAGAAACTGTTTAAACCTTTCAAACCCTTGCTGAAAATGAAAACAAAATGAAATGGGTTATATTATCATATTCATTGAACATTTAAACAGTTAAAACATTAGGGAGGTGAATACATACACCAACCCAGAAAATTTTACAGTTTCTCTTAATGGATCTCAAAATAATTTAATTTCTCAAGGCACTAAAATCCTAGCTGGGTAGCCCTATCTGGCTTTATGACAGAAAACCTAGAGCAAACAAACGTTTTGGATAATACAAAGAGAATTATTTATCATTTTGCTTCAAATAAGAGGGTGTATTTGGTCACAATGTGACTTAAATTTGATTTGGTGATTTGAGTGGCCCAACTATTCTAATGACACAATGTTCCTTGAAGTTTAGCTGCCATTTATTTTCCATAAAACAAAGGAAGGGTAAGGAGGCTATCTTGTAGTCTGATGTGCTAGCCTTTTTATATGTTCTCTAATAAATAAATTAGTTTCACCTCTATTACCTTCAATCATTTTGAGAAGGGCTGGATTTTTTCTTTTCTTTTCTGTTACTTAATGTGCAGCATTCCTATTAACTCACAAAAAAAATGGTCCCAACCCTTTTCTTAGGAGTAGAATATTAATTACAAAATGCACATGGAAATGATGTTTACAGAAGTGTGCTTGTCAATGCGTTGAGGGGCTCTTTTATCCCAACAGATATGTAAATCAAGGCACAATTCCCCCTTTAAAGGAGCCACATGGTTTCCCTTTTAATACAACACCCAGAAGCATAAACCTTGTGATATTTCCTTAATTTCTCCTATCACTTCCTTCCATTCATTAGAGAAATCAAAAATGTTACTAAACCTTGTGTCCTTACTAGTAGTCCTCAAAGGTAATGATTTCCACTATATGTTTTATTTCCAAATTCTGCTCTTAGATGCAGGAGATCTCATTAAAAAAAATATTCCTTTTAGGAGTCCAGTCTCAAGTGCAGTTGGTGGAGTCTGGAGGGGATGTGAGAAGCCCTGGAGGGTCCCTCCGTCTCTCCTGCCAAGCCTCAGGATTCACCTTCAGCAACTATTGGATGGGCTGGGTGAGACAGGCTCCTGGAAAAGGACTGGAATGGGTTGCAAGCATGGCTACATCTAGCATTTACTACTCAGACAAAGTGAAGGGACGCTTCACCATCTCCAGGGATGATGCCAAAAGCCAGCTGTATCTGCAAATGAGCAGCCTCAAAGCTGAAGACACAGCAGTCTATTACTGTGCAAGACACACAGTGAAAGGAAGTGAATCTGAAGCCAGGCAAGAACCTTCCTTTCTTCAGAGCAGTTCTTCAATTTGACTAGATTAGTCAATGAGGATTGATCTCTGGCTAGAGAGAACTTCAGAGATAGCTACCTATTAGCACCATTAGCTACCCATTAACACCCAAAGGAAACACTTGAGGCATCAGAATTAGTCCAAACCCTGTAATAAGTGGGGAATCTCCTTTGGAAAAATAAATTTTAAAATTAAATATTACAAAGGAAACCTAGACCAATAAACCTGCCAACACAGATGTAGATGCACCCAGGAAGGATGGGGTACACCTCAGGAAAGGGATAAGCCAAACCAAATTTTAAAATCCAAAGAAAAGTTTTTGGGTTTTTTTTCCCCTGTCTCTCATTCTTCCTTCCCCGCTTTGAGCAATTCTGGGCAAACTGCAAACTAAAAGAAACACGTGTCTTAGAAAACAATTAAACCCATCAACCTCACTAGGTAGAACTTTTGTAACACTAACAAGACAGACTGTAAGGACCCACCCCACTTTGCATCTTAAGAAGACAGAACTCTTGGAATAGTTCTTCCAACAGGAATCCTTTATTAAGAGAAAATGGTTGCAGGCATGCTAGACAGGACTTGGGGTCCAAGCTCTCCCATTCAAGGTTTTAAGGGGTTCCCCAGTAGTCCCACCCAATCCACCCCCCTTCCCAGTGATAGTTTCAAGTATCACAATTCCACCCCGTTTCTTCTTTCTTCCGTCTGGATGGAGACTTCAGATAACTACATGAAAGGCCAATACTCTTCTTTGTTAATGCTAATGTTCTCTGGTGTTAACGCTTTGAGGTTACAATAGGTTACAATAAACACACATTCAGCATTCAGCTCTTTGAAGTCTACTGAAGGAAGTGAGGGCCATAAAGCCCCTTTGTTCTTCCCCTTCTCTCCCTCTTATGGCAGAATCCAAAGAAGGCAGAATTGGGAGTTTCTATATTTGATAATTAAAGATGAAATATGATTGGATTCTGACATCCGCCCCCTCTTAAAAATAAGAGAGATCCACCTGAAAGAAAACACAAGTATAAAATTTAGTCAGGCTTGTTAGGATACTCTGTGTGAAACTTCTTCAATAGCTTCGGGGCTCTGACATGACGTTTATGGACCCACTCATTTTGTGAGGGAGGGAGGTGTTTCCAGGCAACTAGGTACTGAGTTGCTCCATGATCTCTCCTAGAGTCAAGGACTTCCTTTATTTCGAAGTGTTGTTCACCCTCCACCATGATTGGAGGTGGTGGGGGGGGGATTTTTGGCCGTAGAGGTGACTGATGCTCTCTTTTCAGCAAGCTGCAATGAAAAATTGGGTGTATTTGCATGAGATTTTTGGGTAACTCTAATTCTACTGTTACTGGATTTATGATTCTTTTAATTGGAAAAGGTCCTATGTATTTTGGTCCAAGTTTTTTACAGGGCTGTAGGGACTTTAGGTATTTTGTAGATAAGTACACCATCTCTCCTATAATGAATGGTGTAGGCTCAACCCTTTTTTTATCGGCTTTTGTTTTGTAAGCCTGCCTAGCTTCATCTAGTGCTTTTCTGACTATTGGCCAGGTGTTTTGTAATTTTTCCATCCATTCTTTCAGCGAGGGGATCGTTGGTTCTTTTGGGGTTAATTCTGGCATGGGGTTGAAACTTTGACCGGTGGCTATTTGAAAAGGAGTGTAACCTGTGCTGGAGTGGACTGCATTATTGTAGGCAACTTCTGCAAAGGGGAGTAAGTCCGCCCACACGGTCTGCTGGAAACTAAGAAAACATCTTAAATATTGCTTAAGTACTGAGTTCATTTTTTCAGCCCCCCCATTTCCTTGAGGGTGGTGGCTAGATGTCAGTCCCTGAGTGGTTCCTAAGAGTGATAAAAATTCCTTCCAAAATGCAGACGTAAATTGCACCCCCCTGTCAGAGATGATGCATTGGGGTGCCCCATGCAATCTGTAAATGTGTTGGATGAAAAGTTTTGCTAAGGCTTTTGCAGTGGGAATCTTTTGGCAAGGGATAAAGTGCACCTGTTTGGAAAACAAGTCCGTGACCGTCCAGACCACAGTATTCCCATTGCTTTCTGGCAATTCCACTATAAAATCCATAGCTATTTCCCTCCAGGGGGCTGAGGGACTTGCCACTGTTTGCAATAGTCCTGGCACTTTCCCTTGCAACCTCTTTGCCGTGGCACATTTTGGACAACTGGCTATATAACTTTCAATGTCCTTTTTCATGGATGGCCACCAAAATTGCCGTTTAATTAAATGTACAGTTTTTACAAATCCAAAATGCCCTGCTGATTTTGTGTCATGGCAAAGGTGCATGAAAGTTACTCTTTGAGTTGTTGGTATATATAACTTTTCCCCTATCCAAGGCAACCCGTCTTTCATTGTGCACACAATTTTGTTTTTCTGGAACCAATCATCTGTTTCCAAACTTTTTCTGAATTCAATTCCAGTTTGGCTGTCCAGTTGTGGTTTTAATTTGGCTTGGGTTCTTGTGGTTACTGGTGCTGCCAGTTGTGACTCTGCCAGTATTGGTCTAGAGTCTGCGGTGCGTGTGCTGTTATATTGAGGCATGCGAGATATGCATCTGCCAGGGAAGTCTCTTTCTTCCTGGTAAATGTTTGAGCTTAAATTGGAACTGGTGAAAATGCTGGACCAGCGGGCTTGTTTGGGATTGAGTTTCCTGGACGTTTTCAGGGCTTCCAAATTTTTGTGATCAGTCCACACCTGGAAGGGGATTTTGTTGCCTTCCAGGAACTGTCGCCATGTGAGTAATGCCCAACGTATCCCATAAGCCTCCTTCTCCCATACAGGCCAGCGCTGTTCTGTTTCCGTGATTTTCTTGGATGTATATGCACAGGGTTGCAATACTGCATCATCATTTTCTTGTAATAGCACAGCCCCCACTGCCACATCACTTGCATCTGCTGTATTATAAGGGCTTGTCCATGTCTGGGTGGCCTTAGTACTGGGTTTCGGCAGAAAAAGTCTCTTAGTCTCTCAACGTGCTGCTTGGCACTCCATTGTCCATGTTAGTGGCTGCTAGGTTTACTGAGGATGTTCCCTTCGTTTTTAGTAAGTTAGTGAGAGGCAAGGCTATCTGTGCAAATGAGGGGATGAATTGGCGGTAAAAATTTGCAAAGCCCAGGAAACTTTGTAGTTGCTTTCTTGTGCGGGGTGGTGCCCATTCTAATACTGCTCTGACCTTCTCTGGGTCCATTTCAATGCCCTGTGGGGATATGCAATAGCCTAGGTAGTCTATCCTTTCCTGGTGGAATTCGCATTTTGAGAGTTTGGCATATAGGTGAGCGGCTCTCAGCTTCTTTAAAACCGCTCTGACAAGTTTGACGTGTTCTTCTTTTGTTTCGGTAAAGATAAGAATGTCGTCCAAGTAAACAAGGACCCCCTTAAACAGGTGCTCCCTTAGAACGTCATTGATTAATTGCATAAAGACTGCAGTGCCCCCTTGTAATCCAAATGGCAAGACTTTGAATTGATAGCACCCCATGAAATGCAGTCTTCCATTCGTCCCCTTCTTGATTCTCACGCGATAGTAAGCTTCCCTTAAGTCTTAGTTTAGAAAAAATTTTCCCTTTCGATAGGTGTGACAGCATGTCTTTCATGAGGGGCAGCGGGTATAGGTTGCTTTCACTGATTGTGTTCAGTGCCCTATAATCCACGCATAAACGTAAAGAGCCATCCTTCTTCTCTCTAAAAAGGACCGGGGCAGCCACTTTAGGCTTGGCTGGCTCAATGAAACCTCTCTCCAGGTTTTTTTGTATAAATCTTTCCATTTCCTCCTTCTCCTTTGGGCTCATGGAGTATAATCTGGGTTTCGGGAATTCAATGGTGCAGTCTGTGGGTCGGTGGGGGGGGGGAAGCTCATTCGCCCTCTTCTCACTGAAGACTTCAGCAAGGTCTCTATATTCCTCTGGTATTTCTGTTAATCTTTTTTTCCTCTCCTATGGATGCTTTTTCTATTCTTGATTCTGGTAGCCTCCCTTGGGGTTTTAAGTCCATAGGGTCCCCCTTCGGGAATTTGATTTCTGTCATCCTCCAATTTACCAGGGGTTCCATTTTTTTCAACCATTCCATCCCTAGAAAATTCATTGGGCATTCCCATACCTGGGGGTCAACCACAAACGTTTTTTTAAGTCCTCTTCAGGTTGGCCAGGGAGAGGTGTATTGGGCAGAGTGGCTAGGGTAGCTGGCACCCCCCCTGCTATGGAATCCATCTAGCTGGCCAAATGAGATTGGTTGTTCCAGTCTCCTGGATGGGATGCCCAGATTCCCCACTAGTGTTGGGCTAATGAGGCAGCGGGTGCAGCCAGAATCTATTAAGGCTTTCACCTTCACAGCTTCGGGCATGGGGGGGGATTAATATAGTCACTGTTTTGAAGATGGGTGTGATGCATCCACTTACCAGGGGTTCGCCTTCCGAGCTGTCATCTGAGGCATCCACCGGCCCTGTGGTGTAGGCTGGAGTTCTTTCCCCTTGGTGAGCAGAGGTGGGGGTTTCTGCAATTTCCATCATTTTCATGGCTGGTTCTTTTGGCTTAGCTGAATACCCTCTGGGTTTGTTGATTGGGGATCTGTCTGGGTTGTGCTGGGGGGCCTTTGAGCGGCATTCTACAGCTTGATGCCCTTCTCTTCCGCACTTGAAACACCCCATCTGCTTCTTGGCTGTATCCGATGATTTCACCGGTTGGTGTGTCAGCTCAGGCGGGGGGCGGCTCCATTGTGTTCCTCGGCGATGCCTCTTCAATATGTCGATCTCTGCTTCCTCTGCCAAGACGTACCATTCCTCAAGTCGATGTGGGTCTCCTCGGGGCAGGCAAGCATCATATAGATCATAGTTTAGTCCGTCTTTGAAACGGCCAAGGAGGATGTCTTCTGGCCAATTCAGCTCCTGGATCAGTAAATGTCCCTGGGGTTGCAGGTTCCACGTCCCCCTCGGTGTCTCTCCCTTTGTGGCTCCAGGAACTGGGGCGGGCGTAGGGCTCAGGAATCTCCTCTCCTAGGGAGCTGAGAGTTCTCTTCATCAGGTCAATAGCTTTCTCTAGGATCCAGTCTGAGTACGGCATACAGCTTCCTCCCTCTTTACTTGCGTGCAGGGATTTCTCCATCTCCTGCTTCCATTCTGGTTGCTTGGTCCCCCGTCTCAGGGTCACTTTTCTTGATTCCTTTCCCCACTCGCTTTTCTTTCCAACGCCCATCGACCAGTGAGGCTTGTGGTCCTGTGTCTCCACCACTTCTTCTTCTGAGAAATCTGGCCTCTCGGATCCCAACATCTGGCAAGGTTCCAACTGGGTCAGCGGCTCTCTTTCCAGGGAGTTTTCCCCCTCTCTTGCTCCATTGTCTGACATGGTAAATTTTTGCAAAATCCCCCCGGCAAGGGTCTCCCTTCCAGGTGGATTAATTTTGCAAGTCCTGTCTAATGTAAGGACCCACCCCACTTTGCATCTTAAGAAGACAGAACTCTTGGAATAATTCTTCCAACAGGAATCCTTTATTAAGAGAAAAGGGTTGCAGGCATGCTAGACAGGACTTGGGGTCCAAGCTCTCCCATTCAAGGTTTTAAGGGGTTCCCCAGTAGTCCCACCCAATCAACCCCCCTTCCCAGTGATAGTTTCTAGTATCACAATTCCACCCCGTTTCTTCTTTCTTCCGTCTGGATGGAGACTTCAGATAACTACATGAAAGGCAAATACTCTTCTTTGTTAATGCTAATGGTCTCTGGTGTTAACGCTTTGAGGTTACAATAGGTTACAATAAACACACATTCAGCATTCAGCTCTTTGAAGTCTACTGAAGGAAGTGAGGGCCATAAAGGCCCTTTGTTCTCCCCCTTCTCTCCCTCTTATGGCAGAATCCAAAGAAGGCAGAATTGGGAGTTTCTATATTTGATAATTAAAGATGAAATATGATTGGATTCTGACACAGACATAAACCATACAGAGAAACACATTTACATGAACAAAGAAATACTTCTCAAGGACAATACTAATCACTACTGGTCCAAACAGACACAAACTAGATGGAATTAAATGAACATTTTTTTTTTCAAAAGCCAAATCATAATCTCAATAACTTGAGGGGTATAAGAAGACGACCTCTCACCTTGGGAAACTACTAGCTAGTCCAGAAACCATCCGTGTACCATTACTCCGTCTGGTTTCTGTAAATAAACCTACTTTCTGGCAGCTTGTTTCATTCTCTGTCATTTCTTCCGCCTGAGCCGAAGGTCTGCTTCCCAGTTGAAGACCCAAATCATGGGAAATCTTCCCACAGTTCATAAAACAAATGTCATTAGATATTGTCTCATTCTGGAGGACTGATAATTATTATTTTTTAAAAAATATTTTTGTACTAATTCACTGAAAAGTTCTCAAGAAAATTTCACATCTCAGTGGGCTACAGTATTCACAGTGAAACTGATATACATACATACATACATACATACATATATACATACATACATACATACATACATACATACATACATACATATATATACACACATTGGTGGATTGTTGGTTTTGGTCTCCAGAGAAACTGTCTAGGTATTTCAAATCTTTGTTGGAAATAAAAACAAAATGAAGGGATTATATTATTATATTCAGTTAACATATTAAACAGTTTTGGAGGCCAGGTATTTTTATTATTATTATTTCCTTAATAAATCATTAAAACATTCTGAAGAAAATTGTACGGTTACCCAGTGTGAAACTGAGAAATTTCATAAAAAGATAGATTTTGTGTTTAAATCACCAGAAAAACTTATCTAGTTATTTCAAATCTTTACCTGGAAAAAAAGTGAAAGGATCACATTATCATATTCACTGAACATATAAAACAGTTAAAAAAATACAGATATTAATACATACACCAATCCAGAAGATTTTAAAGTTTCTTTCAATGGATCTGAAAAGAATTTAATTTCTCAAGACACCAAAATCCTTACTGGAAAGCCCCATCTGGTTTTATGACAGATAATCTAAAGCAAAGATAATTATTTATCATTCTTTTTCAAATAAGGGGTTGTGTTTGGTCACAATATGATTTCAGTTCGACTTTGTGAGTTGAGCTAACTAATCAAGCTGAAACAGTATTCCTTGCAGTTGAACTGCCATTTAATGTATTTGGGATTTTTCCATAAAATAAACAATAAAGAGAGTTCATATGGTGTATTTTTCAGGCTTTTTTTATTTAATACACAATAAATTTGCCCTTCCACCTATTAATTCACAGAAAAATAAATGGCTCCCAATCCTTTTCTTAGGCGTGCAATGTTAATTACAAAAAGCACATGCAAGTGATGTTCACAGAAGTGTGTTTGTCAAGGGCTCTTTTATCCCAACAGATATGTAAATTGAGGCACCATTTCCCCTTTAAAGGAGCCCCATGGTTTCCCTCTTCAGACAACACCCAGAATCATAAACCTTGTGATATTTCCTTAATCTCCTATCACTTCCCCCCATTCATTAGAGCAATCAAAAATGTTACTAAACCTTGTGTCCTTACTAGTAGTCCTCAAAGGTAATGATTTCCACTATATGTTTTATTTCCAAATTCTGCTCTTAGATGCAGGAGATCTCATTAAAAAATATTCCTTTTAGGAGTCCAGTCTCAAGTGCAGTTGGTGGAGTCTGGAGGGGATGTGAGAAGACCTGGAGAATCACTCCGTCTCTCCTGCCAAGCCTCTGGATTCACCTTCAGCAGCTCTTGGATGCACTGGGTGAGACAGGCTCCAGGAAAAGGCCTGGAATGGGTGGCATTCATAAACACCGATTCTAGTACTATTCGCTACTCAGACAAAGTGAAGGGCCGCTTCACCATCTCCAGGGACAATGCCAAAAGACAGCTGTATCTGCAAATGAACAGCCTCAAAGCTGAAGACACGGCCATCTATTACTGTGTGAGAGACACACTGAGAAGAAGTGAATCTGAAGCCAAACAAGAACCTTCTTTTCTTCAGAGAAGCTCTTCAACTTGACTGGATTAGTCAATGAGGATTGATCTCTGTCTAGAGAGAACTTCAGAATGGTTTATTCTGTATTATAATGTATTTGGGATTTTTCCATAAAATAAACAAATAAGAGAGTTCATATGGTGTATTTTTCAGGCTTTTCTTTTTTTCAATAAACAATAAATTTGCCCTTTCACCTATAAATTCACAGAAAAATAAATGGCTCCCAATCCTTTTCTTAGGGGTGCAATGTTAATTTCAAAATGCAGATCCAAGTGATATTCACAGAAGTGTGTTTGTCAAGGGCTCTTTTATCCCAACAGATATGTAAATCGAGGCACCATCTCCCCTTTAAAGGAGCCCCATGGTTTCTCTCTTCAGACAACACCCAGGAACATAAACCTTTTGCTATTTTCTCTCTTGTCTCTTGTCAATTCCCTCCATTCATTCAGTGAAAATGTGGCTAAACCTTATGTCCTTACTAGTAGTCCTCAAAGGTAATTATTTCCCCCACATACAGTTTATTTCCATGTTCTGCTCCTCTAAGCAGGAGATCTCATTTAAAAAAAAATATTTTCTTTTTAGGAGTCCAGTCTCAAGTCCTGTTGGTGGAGTCTGGAGGGGACGTGAGAAGACCTGGAGGATCCCTCCGTCTCTCCTGCCAAGCCTCTGGATTCACCTTCAGGAGCTATGGAATGCACTGGGTTAGACAGGCTCCAGGGAAAGGCCTGGAATGGGTGGCATACATAAGCTCTGGTTCTGGTACTATTTACTACTCAGACAAAGTGAAGGGACGCTTCACCATCTCCAGGGACAATGCCAAAAGCCAGCTGTATCTGCAGATGAACAGCCTCAAAGCTGAAGACACAGCAGTCTATTACTGTGCGAGAGACACAGTGAGAGGAAGTGAATCTGGAGCTTGGAAAAAACCTTCCTTTCTTCAGAGCAGCTCTTCAACTTGACTAGATTAGTCATTGAGGATTGATCTCTGTCTAGAGAGAACTTCAGAATGGTTTATTCTGGGCATCAGAGAGTTTGCTGTAAGAAAATATAGGATGATGAAAATGGCTTGAACATCTGTTTCATCTTCCCTGTTTACAAGGTGATTTATGTTCTGGAAAAAAGATGGAATGGAATATTGTTCTTTAATATCATGGCAGAAGCCTGGAAATGAAACCTCAGAGTGAACCTTCTAAATATCCAAACTGCCATTCTCATATTGAGGAAACACCTAATTCTCCTTGGAGAATTAGGAACATGCTCTCCCTCCTCATTTATGACACTAGGGGGCAATGTTGTAACATAAAATCCCACTGTGGATGCATGTGGTGGGGTCAGAGATAACTACCCTTGAGACCCAAAGGAAACACTTTAGACATCAGAATTAGTCCAAACCCTGAAACAAGTGGGCAATTTCCTTTGGAAAAAGAAATTTTACAATTAAATATTACAAAGGAAATCCAGCCCCATAAACCTGGCATCACAGATGTAGATGCACCCAGGAAGGATGGGGTACCTCAGGAAAAGAACCATTTAAGAGATAAGCCAAACCAAACTTTAAAGTCGAAAGAAAAGTTTTTTTTGTTTTGTTTTTTTTTCCCTGTCTCTCATTATTCCTTCCCTGTCGTGACCAATTCTGGGCAAACTGTCAAACTAAAAGAAACACGTGTCTTAGAAAACAATTAAACCCATCAACCTCACTAGGTAAAACTTTTGTAACACTAACAAGACAGACATAAACCATATAGAGAAACACATTTGCATGAACAAAGAAATATTTCCCAAGGACAATATTAATCGCTACTGGTCCATGCAGACACAAACTAGATGGAATTAAATGAACCTTTTTTTTTTCAAAAGCCAAATCATAATCTCAATAATTTGAGGAGTATAAGAAGAGGACCCCTCACCTTGGGAAACTACTAGCTAGTCCAGAAACCATCCCTGTACCATTACTCCGTCTGGTTTCTGTAAACAAACCTACTTTCTGGCATTCTGTATCATTTCTTCCGCCTGAGCCGAAGGTCTGCTTCCCAGCTGGAGACCCAAATCAAGGGAAATCTTCCCACAATTCATAAAACAAATGTCATTAGATATTGTCTAATTCTGGAGGACTGATAATAATTATTTTTTTAAAAAAAATATTTTTGTATTAATTCACTGAAAAGTTCTCAAGAAAATTTCACATCTCAGTGGGCTACAGTCTTTACAGTGAGCCTGATATATATATGTAGGTCTTTGGTTATTCGGGTTTTCTCCAGCGTAAAATTGGAAGTTTCTTGGCAACATTTCGACGAAGCCCCATTCGTCATCTGCAGGACTTCATCGAAACGTTGCCAAGACACTTCCAATTTTGCATAGGAGAAAATCCAAATAACCAAAGACCTACAAACAAACACCCGCAAAAATCTCAGAAAACAAATATATATAATGGTGGGTTGTTGGTTTTGGTCGCCAGAGAAACTGTCTAGGTCTTTCAAATCTTTGTTGGAAATAAAAACAAGATGAAGGAATCATATTATCATATTTAGTGAACATATAAAACAGTTTTGGAGATCGGATATTTTTATTTTATTCTATTTCTGTAATAATTCCTTGAAACATGATCAAGAAAATTGTAGGAGTACTCAGTGTGTAACTGAGAAATTTTATTAAAAGATTTTGCATTTAAGCCACCAGAAAAAACTTATCTAGGTATTTCAAACCTTGGACTGGAAGTGGAAACAAAGTGAAAGGATCATGTTATCATATTTAGTTATCATATAAAACAGTTAAAAAACTACAGATACTAATACATTTTGTGTATTTTTCAGGTTTTTCTTTTATTTAATACACAATAAATTTGCTCTTCCACCTGTTAATTCACAGAAATATAAATGGCTCCCAATCCTTTTCTTAGGGGTGCAATGTTAATTACAAAATGCACATGCAAGTGATGCTCACAGAAGTGTGTTTGTCAAGGGCTCTTTTATCCCAACAGATATGTAAATCGAGGCACCATTTCCCCTTTAAAGGAGCCCCATGGTTTCCCTCTTCAGACAACACCCAGGAACATAAACCTTGTGCAATTTTCTCTCTTGTCTCTTGTCAATTCCCTCCATTCATTCAGTGAAAATGTGGCTCAACCTTGTGTCCTTACTAGTAGTCCTCAAAGGTAATTATTTCCCCCACATACAGTTTATTTCCATGTTCTGCTCCTCTAAGCAGGAGATCTCATTTAAAAAAAACAATCTTTTCTTTTTAGGAGTCCATTCTCAAGTCCAGTTGGTGGAGTCTGGAGGGGACGTGAGAAGACCTGGAGGGTCCCTCCGTCTCTCCTGCCAAGCCTCTGGATTCACGTTCAGCAGCTACTGGATGAGCTGGGTGAGACAGGCTCCAGGGAAAGGACTGGAATGGGTGGCATACATCAGCTACTCTTCTGGTACTATTAGCTACTCAGACAAAGTGAAGGGCCGCTTCACCATCTCCAGGGACAATGCCAAAAGCGAGCTGTATCTGCAAATGAACAGCCTCAAAGCTGAAGACACAGCAATTTATTACTGTGTGAGACACACAGTGAGAGGAAATGAATCTGGAGCTTAGCAAAAACCTTCCTTTCTTCAGAGAAGCTTTTCAATTTGACTAGATTAGTCAATGAGGATTGATCTCTGTCTAGAGAGAACTTCAGAATGTTTTATTCTGGGTATCAGAGAGTTTGCTGTAAGAAAATATAGGATGATGAAAATGGCTTGAAAGTCTGTTTCATCTTCCCTGTTTACAAGGTGATTTATGTTCTGGAAAAAACATGGAATGGAATATTGTTCTTTAGTATCGTGGCAGAAGCCTGGAAATGAAACCTCAGAGTGAACCTTCTAAATATCCAAACTGCCATTCTCATATTGAGGAAACACTTGCACACACACACACACACACACAAAATATCTCTCTATCTATCTCTCTATCTATCTATCTATCTATCTATCTATCTATCTATCTATCTATCTATGTAGGTCTTTGGTTGTTCGGGTTTTCTCCCACGTAAAATTGGAAGTGTCTTGGCGATGTTTCGACGAAGTCACATTCGTCATCTTCAGGCTGGTGTTTTTAGCTTCTTGCTTTGAGCAGTAATGTGTGGTCTTAGCTGTTTCTTCTATCTATCTATCTATCTATCTATCTATCTATCTATCTATCTATCTATCTATCTATCTATCTATCTATCTATCTGTTGTAACATAAAAACCCACTGTGGATGCGTGTGGTGGGGTCAGAGATAGCTACCCATTAGCACCCAAAGGAAACACTTGAGGCATCAGAATTAGTCCAAACACTGAAACAAGTGGGCAATTTCCTTTGGAAAAAGAAATATTACAATTTAATATTACAAAGGAAACACAGACCGATAAACCTGCTTTTACGTTATCTGGTTTTATGAGAGATAACCTAAAGCGAAGAAAATACATATATTTTGGATAATAGAAAGATAATTATTTATCTTTTTTTTTTCAAATAAGGGGGTGTATTTGGTCACAATATGATTTAAGTTCGACTTTGTGAGTTGAGCTAACTAGCGTAGCTGAAACAGTATTCCTTGCAGGTCAGCTGCCATTTAATGCATTTGGGATTTTTCCATAAAATAAACAAATAAGAGAGTTCATATGGTGTATTTTTCAGGCTTTTCTTTTATTTAATAAACAATAAATTTGCCCTTTCACCTATAAATTCACAGAAAAATAAATGTCTCCCAATCCTTTTCTTAGGGGTGCAGTGTTAATTAGAAAATGCACATGCACGTGATGTTCACAGAAGTGTGTTTGTCAAGGGCTCTTTTATCCCAACAGATATGTAAATCGAGGCACCATTTCCCCTTTAAAGGAGCCCCATGGTTTCCCTCTTCAGACAACACCCAGGAACATAAACCTTGTGCAATTTTCTCTCTTGTCTCTTGTCAATTCCCTCCATTCATTCAGTGAAAATGTGGCTCAACCTTGTGTCCTTATTTCCATGTTCCATGTTCTCCTCTAAGCAGGAGATCTCATTTTAAAAAAAAATATTTCTTTTTAGGAGTCCAGTCTCAAGTTCAGTTGGTGGAGTCTGGAGGGGATGTGAGAAGACCTGGAGGGTCCCTCCGTCTCTCCTGCCAAGCCTCTGGATTTGATTTCAGCAGCTATTGGATGGGCTGGGTGAGACAGTATCCTGGAAAAGGCCTGGAATGGGTGGCATACATAAGTACTGGTTCTAGTACTATTCGCTACTCAGACAAAGTGAAGGGCCGCTTCACCATCTCCAGGGACAATGCCAAAAGCCAGCTGTATCTGCAGATGAACAGACTCAAAGCTGAAGACACAGCAATCTATTACTGTGCGAGAGACACAGTGAGAGGAAGTGAATCTGGAGCCAAACAAGAACCTTCCTTTTTTCAGAGCAGTTCTTCAACTTGACTGAGTCCCACATCCTGGATTAGTCAATGAAGATTGATTGATTTCTAATGAGTACTTCAGAATATTTTATTCTGGGTTTCAAAAAGTGTGTTGTCAGAAAAATAAAATAAAATCCAAGTACCCTGTCCCTATTTAGAAGGTGATTTGGTTTCATTGGAACGGAATATAGTCTTTTAGTATCATGGTGGAACAGTGGTTCTCAACCTTTCTAATGCCGTGACCCCATAATACAGTTCCCCATGTTGTGGTGACCCCCAAGTGAGTGTGGCCACCAATAAGAGGGAGTAGGACAGCTAGGGAAAAGGGAACAAAATGGTGGACAGCATGGTTTGGCGACCCCCATGAAATGGTTGTTCGACCCCAAATGGGGTCCCGACCCACAGGTTGAGAACCACTGTGGTGGAAGGATGGAAATGCAACTTTAGGATAATCCTAAATATTCTCCACATTGGAGAAATATGCGCTGTGAATGAAACTCCTTAGAAAATGAGGTTGATGTGTCCTCTCCTCAGTTTTGATTCTGGAGGCAATGTTGTCTCAAACTCCAAATGTCTACGCATCTGGAAGTGGTTCTTTCGGGAATAAAATATGTATAATTGTATATTTTCTTATTTTGGAAGTGTCTAGTCCATCCCCCTGCTCAAACAGCAGACCTTATACCAGTGATGGCAAACCTTTTAGAGACTGAATGCCGAAACTGCAACCCAAAACCCACTTATGCATCATCGGGTGATGGGTGGATGTGGCCCATTGGCTGGGTGTGGCCCATTGGGTGGGTGTGGCTTTGGGAGTAATGGCAGACTGGGTGGGACTAAAAAGTTCAATCAATCAATTCTAACTTTGCAAGATTTTTTTTCCCATGAGAAATTGAAATTGACTGATTGATTGAACCTTTTTTTTTTTTGCACACAGTAGCGGAGGCCTAAAGCAAAAAGGTTGTATAAAACCCAGCTGAAGGCCTAGGACAGGGGCAATGGTGCACATGCCCACAGATAGGGCTCTAAGTGCCACCTCTGTCACCCGTGCCATGGGTTCGCCACCATTGCCTTATACCATTCCAGACAAATGGTTGTACAGTCTCTTCTTTAAAAAGTATGAGGAGTGGGGAGGGATAACAGAGTTGGTAGGGACCTTGTAAATCTTCTAGTCCAACCCCCCGTTCAAGAAGGAGACCGTATTCCATTTCACACAAAGGATTGTCCAATCACTTCTTTAAAACCTCCAGTGTTGGAACATCCACAACCTCTGGAGGCAAGTTGTTCCATTGATTAATTGAAAAACACAAATGGAAGTTCCCTGAAATGTATTAGCAAACTGTCCCTTTCTCCTAACTCACAGAGGGAAAAAAATGGGTCTGAACCATTTTCTTAGGATTCGAATGTTAATTACAAAATGCACCTAGAAGTGATGCTCACATAAATGTATTAGTCAATGCCCTGAGGAGCTCTTTTATCCCAATAAATATCTAAATCAGGACACAATTTCCCCTTTAAAGGAGCCACATAGTTTCCCTTTTCAGACAAATTCCACCAACATAAACCGTGGGCAATTTCCTGCATTTTCCCCTGTCAATTCCCTCCATTCATTAGAGTGAGCAAAAATGTGGCTAAACCTTGCGTCCTTGCTAGTAGTCCTCAAAGGTAATTATTTTCACTATGTAAAATTTATTTCCATGTTCTGCTCTTGTATGCAGGAGATCTCATTAAAAAATATTTTTAGGAGTCCAGTCTCAAGTCCAGTTTTTGGAGTCTGGAGGGGATGTGAGAAGGCCTGGAGGGTCCCTCCATCTCTCCTGCCAAGGATCTAGATCAGTGGTTCTCAACCTTTTTAATGGTGTGACCCCCAACCGGTCGTAAGTAAAGGACTACTCAACTGGTCGTAAGTCGAGGACTACTCAACTGGTGCAGCACGTTTGGAGAACGGGGCTTTTGGCGGGCTCAGCAGGGCAGAGACTGCCTGGACAATTCCTATTGGCTTTTGAAAGCCAATAGAATTAGACTCTATTCAAGAGAGTCTATTCTATTGGCTTTCAAAAGCCAATAGAATAAAAGGGAGTAGCACAGCTAAGGAAAAGGGGAAAAAAATGGCGGACTGTATTGTTTGGCGACCCCCGTGAAATAGTCGTTCGACCCCAAATGGGGTCCCGACCCACAGGTTGAGAACCACTGATCTAGATTCACCTTCAGCAACCATAACAAGCACTGGTTGAGACAAGCTCCAGGAAAAGGACTGGAATGGGTTGCAGGCACGAGTACATCTTACATTTACTAATCAGACAAAGTGAAGGGATGCTTCGCCATCTCCAGGGAAAATTCCAAAATCCAGCTGTATCTGCAAATGAACAGCCTCAAATCAGAGGATACCACAGTCTACTACTGTATGAGAGACACAGTGAGAGGAAGTGAATCTGAAGCCAAAGAAGAATCTTCCTATCTTCAGAGCAGTTCTTCAACTTGACAGAGCCACAGACCATGGATTAGTCAATGAGGATTGATCGATGTCTAATGAGAACTTCAGGGGAGGTAAGGTACCCACCGGGCCCCACGCACACCAGCAATCCTCCCTGCGCCCGCCGGCCTCCCACCTCCCACCCCTGGCCCTTTTACTTACATTTTTAGTAGTTGCTCAGCAGGGAGGGGTGGAAACTTCCAGACAGCTCACCTTCGCTGCAGACAACTTGCAGCACCGTTTGCAGACTGGGACTTTTGGCAGGCTCAGCAGGGCAGAGATAGCCCAGACAATTCCTATTGGCTTTTGAAAGCCAATAGAATTAGACTCTATTCAAGAGAGTCTATTCTATTGGCTTTCAAAGGCCAATAGAATAAAAGGGAGTAGCACAGCTAAGGAAAAAGGGAAAAAAATGGTGTGCGTTGTTTGACGACCCCCGTGAAATGGTCGTTCGACCCCAAATGAGGTCGCGACCCACAGGTTGAGAACCACTGATTTAAAAAGTTAAAACATTGTGGAGACAAATTCATACACCAACCCAGAAAATTTTAAAGTTTCCTTTAATGGATCACAAAAGAATTTAATTTCTCAAGGCAGCAAAATCCTTGCTGGGAAGCCCTATCTGGCTTTATGACAGATAACCTAGAGCAAGCAAAATATTTTGAATAATACAAAGAGAATTATTTATCATTCTGTTTCAAATAAGAGGGTGTTTTTGGTCACAATAAGACTTAAGTTTGATTTTCTGAGGTGAGTGGCCCAACTATTCTAGTGACACAATGTTCCTTGAAGTTTATCTGCCATTTATTTTCCATAAAACAAAGGAAGGGTAATGAGGCTGTCTTGTAAGAAAGTTTGATGCGCTAGCCTTTTTATATGTTCTCTAATAGGTAAATTAGTTTCATTTCTATTGCCTTCAATCATTTAGAGAAGGGCTGGATTTTTTCAGTCTTTTCTGTTAGTTAATATGCAGCAAACTGGCCCCTTTTCCTATAAACTCACAAAAAAAATGGTCCAAATCCTTTTCTTAGGACTGGAATGTTAATTATAAAACGCACATGGAAGCGATATTTACAGAAGTGTGCTTCTCAATGCGCTGAGGGGCTCTTTTATCCCAACAGATATGTAAATCGAGGCACAATTTGCCCTTTAAAGGAGCCCCATGGTTTCCCTTTACAGACAACACCCAGAATTATAAACCTTGTAATATTTCCCGAATCTTCTTCAATCGCTTCCCTCCATTTATTAGAGCAATCAAAAATGTTACTAAACCTTGTGTCCTTACTAGTAGTCCTCAAAGGTAATGATTTCCACTATATCTTTTATTTCCATGTTCTGCTCCTGTATACAAGAGATCTCATTTAAAAAAAAAAAAAAACTTTCTTTTTAGGAGTCCAGTCTCAAGTCCAGTTGGTGGAGTCTGGAGGGGATGTGAGAAGCCCTGGAGGATCCCTCCGTCTCTCCTGTCAAGCCTCTGGATTCACCTTCAGCAGCTATAACATGGGCTGGGTGAGACAGGCTCCTGGGAAAGGCCTGGAATGGGTTGCACGCATGGGTTCATCTAGCACTTACTACTCAGACAAAGTGAAGGGACGCTTCACCATCTCCAGAGACGATGCCAAAAGCCAGCTGTATCTGCAAATGAACAGCCTCAAAGCTGAAGACACAGCAATCTATTACTGTGCGAGAGACACAGTGAGAGGAAGTGAATCTGAAGCTAAACAAAAACCTTCTTTTCTTCAGAGCAGTTCTTCAACTTGACTGAGTCCCAGATCCTGGATTAGTCAATGAAGATTGATTGATTTCTAATGAGAACTTCAGGATATTTTATTCTGGGTTTCAAAAAGTGTGTTGTAAGAAAAAAAAAATCCAAGTACCCTGTCCCTATTTACAAGGTGATTTGGTTTCATTGGAATGGAATATAGTCTTTTAGTATCATGGTGGAAGGATGGAAATGGAACTTTAGGATAATCCTAAATATTCAAACAGCCAAATATGCGCTCTGAATGAAACTCCTTGGAAAATGAGGTTGATGTGTCCTCTCCTCAGTTTTGATTCTGGAGGCAATGTTGTTTCAAACTCCAACTCTTTTTATAGGGCTGGGATTTCAATTGAAAAACACAAATGGAAGTTCACTGAAAGGTATTTACAAACTGTCCCTTTCTCCTAACTCACAGTGGGAAAAAAATGGGTCTGAACCATTTTCTTAGGATTGGAATATTAATTACACATCCAAACTGCAATTCATGTATTGACGAAACATCTGGACCCAAAGAATCTCCTTGGAGAATTAAGAACAGGCTTCCCCTCCAAATTTTTGACACTGGGGGGCAATGTTGCTACATGAAAATCCATTTTCTATGCAGCTGGTGGCGGTGGGGAAGGGAATAAAACAAATGTCATTATATAGTGTCTCATTTTGGAGGTCAGATACCTTTTTTATTTTATTTCTGTAAATAAAGGTTCTCAAGAAAATTTTACAACACAGAAGACTTCAATATAAAACTGAGAAATGTTATTAAAAACAGAGTTTGGGTTTTCGATCCCAGATAAACTTATCTAGGTATTTCAAATCTTTTCTGGAAATTGAAATCACATGAAAGGATTATATTATCACACTCAGTGAACATATAAAACACTTAAAACATTATAGATACTAATATATACACCAAACAAAAAGATTTCAAAATTTTCCTCAATGGAACTCAAAAGTACTTGCATCATTTTGAGAAGCGTTGAAATTTTGAAAGACTTTGTTTTATTGAATATACAGTAAACTCATAAGAAAAACAATGAGTCCCTACTTTTTTCTTAGGGTTTGATTATTAATTGAAAAACACGCATGGAAAGTATGTTCACCAAAATATGTTAGTCAATGTCATATGAAGCTCTTTTATCCCAACAGATATGTAAATCAAGACACAATTTCTCCTTCAAAGGAGCCCCACAGTTTCCCTTTTCAGAAAACTCCCATCAACTTAAACCTTGTGCTATTTGCCAAATCCTTCAAGTGAGCAAATATGTGGCTAAACATTGTGTCCTTATTAGTAATCCTCAAAGGTAATTGTTTTCTCCTACGTAGAGTTTATTACCATGTTCTGTTCCTCTATGTAGGAGATCTCATTAAAAAAAAAACTTTATTTTTAGGAGTCCAGTCTCAAGTCCAGTTGGTGGAGTCTGGAGGAGATCTGCAAAGACCTGGAGGGTCCCTCCGTCTCTCCTGCCAAGCCTCTGGATTCCCTTTCAGCAGCTTTAGCATGAGCTGGGGGAGACAGTTTCCAGAGAAAGGACTGGAATGGGTTGCACACATGGGTTCATCTATCACTTACTACTCAGACAAAGTGAAGGGACGCTTCACCATCTCCAGGGACGATGCCAAAAGCCAGCTGTATCTGCAAATGAACAGCCTCACAGCTGAAGACACAGCCGTCTATTACTGTGCAAGAGGCACAGTGAGAGGAAGTGAATCTGAAGCCAAACAAGAACCTTCCTTTCTTCAGAGCAGCTCTTCAACTTGACTGAGTCCCAAATCCTGGATTAGTCAATGAACATTGATTGATTTCTAAAGAGAACTTCAGGATGTTTTATTCTGGGTTTCAAAAAGTGTGTTGTAAGAAAACAACAACAACAACAAAAAATCCAAGTACCATGTCCCTGTTTACAAGATGATTTGGCTTCATTGGAAGGGAATGTAGTCTTTTAGTATCATGGTAGAAGGATGGAAATGGAACTTTAGGATAATCCTATATAAAAATCTAGTCAGCATACTAAAAAGCAGAGACATCACTCTGCCAACAAAAGTGTGTATAGTCCGGGCCATGGTTTTCCCGGTTGCAATGTATGGCTGTGAAAGTTGGACCATAAGAAAGACTGAGCACCAAAGAATTGAGGCCTTTGAACTATGGTGCTGGAGAAGACTCCTGCGAGTCCCTTGGACTGCAAGGCATTCAAACCGGTCAGTCCTAGAAGATATCAACTCCGACTGCTCTTTAGAAGGCCAGATCCTGAAGTTGAAACTTAAATACTTTGGCCACCTAATGAGAAGGAAGGACTCACTGGAGAAGGGCCTAATGCTGGGAAAGATTGAGGGCAATAGAAGAATGGGATAACAGAGAATGAGATGGCTGGATGGAGTCATTGAAGCAGTAGGTGTGAACTTAAATGAACTACAGAAGATGGTAGAGGACAGGAAGACCTGGAGGAACGTTGTCCATGGGGCCGCGATGGGTCAGACACGACTTCGCAATTAACAACAACAACAAAATATTCAAACTGCCAAACACACATTGGGGAAATATGCACTCTGAATGAAACTCCTTAGAAAATGAGGTTGATGTGTCCTTTCCTCAGTTTTAATTCTGGAGGCAATATTGTCTCAAAATCCAAACTGTCTACACATCTGGAAGAGGTATTTTCGGGAATAAAATATGTATAATTGTATATTTTCTTATTTTGGAATTGTCTAGTCCATCCCTCTGCTCAAGAAGCAGACCTTATACCAGTGATGGCGAACCTTTTAGAGACTGAGTGCCCAAACTGTAACCCAAAACCCACTTATGCATCTTTGGGTGCTGGGTGGGTGTGGCTCATTGGCTGGGTGTGGCCTATTGGCTGGGCGTGGCCCATTGGGTGGGTGTGGCTGTGGTAGTAATGGCAGACTGGGTGGGACTAAAAAGTTCAATCAATCAATTCTAACTTTGTAAGATATTTTTTCCAATGAGAAGTTGAAATTGACTGATTGATTGAACCTTTTTTTTTTGCACACAGTAGCAGAAGCCTAAAGAGAAAAGGTTTTATAAAACCCAGCTGAAGGCCTAGGACAGGGACGACAGCGCACGGGCCCACAGAGAGGGCTCTAAGTGCTTCCTCTGGCACCCGTGCCATAAGTTCACCACCACTGCCTTATACCTTTTCAGACAAATGGTTGTACAGTCTCTTCTTAAAAATGGAGGGGAGGGGGGAGGGAGGAAGATGAGGAGGATAACAGAGTTGGAAGGGACCTTGTAAATCTTGTACTCCAACCCCCCATTCAAGGAGGAGACCATATTCCATTTCACACAAAGTTTGTCCAATCACTTCTTAAAAACCTCCAGCGCTGGAACATCCACAACCTCTGGAGGCAAGTTGTTCCATTGATTAATTGTTCTCGCTGTCAGGAAATTTCTCCTTACACTCACCAAAAAGCTGAGAATGTTAATAAAATAATGTATCATTGATGATTGGCACCAGAAAAAAAAGTCTGCATATTTTAAATCTTTGCTGGAAATGAACCATTTTCTTAGGATTGGAATGTGAATTACAAAATGCACATAGAAGTGATGCTCACACAAATGTATTAGTCAATGCCCTGAGGGGCTCTTTTATCCCAACAGATATGTAAATCAAGACACCATTTCCGCTTTAAAGGAGCCCCATAGTTTCCCTTTTCAGACAACTCCCACCAACATAAACCTTGTGCTATTTCCAGAATCCTCTCTTGACAATTCCCTCCACTCATTAGAGTGAGCAAAATGTGGCGAAACATTCTCTTCATACTACTAGTCCTCAAAGGTAATTATTTCCCCCATATAGTTCCATGCTCTTCTCCTGTATGCAGGTGATCTCATTTAAAAATAATAATAATCTTTTCTTCTTAGGAGTGCAGTCTCAGGGACAGTTGGTGGAATCTGGAGGGGATGTGAGAAGACCTGGAGGGTCCCTCCGTCTCTCCTGCCAAGGTTCTGGATACAACTTTGGTGGCTACAGCATGAGCTGGGTGAGACAGGCTCCAGAGAAAGGACTGGAATGGGTTGCACACATCTATCATGATTCCAGTGGAAAGTTCTACTCTGAGAAAGTGAAGGGATGCTTCACCATCTCCAGGGACAATGCCAAAAGCCAGCAGTATCTGCAAATGAACAGCCTCAAAGCTGAAGACACGGCAAGCTATTACTGTGTGAGAGACACAATGAGTGGAAGTGAATCTGAAGCCAGACAAGGTCCTTCCTTTCTTCAGAGCAGCTCTTCAACTTGACTGGATTAGTCAATGAGAATTGATCTCTATCTAGAGAGAACTTCAGGATGTTTTATTCTGGGTATCAGAGAGTTTGCTGTAAGAAAATGCAAATTGATGAAAATAGCTTGAAAATTCCAGTTTCACCTTTCCTGTTTAAAAGGTGATTAATGTTCTGAAGAAAAAAAAAAACATGAAATGGAATATTGTCCTTTATTATCATGGCAGAAGCCTGGAAATCAAACTTCAGGGTAAACCTTCCAAATATCAATTGCTGAAGACACAGCAATTTATTACTATGCAAGAGACACAGTGAGAGGAAGTGAAACTGAAGCTTGGCAAAAACCAGCCATTCTTCAGAGCAGTTTTTTAACTTCACTGGATTGGTCAGTATGGATTGATTAATGTTTAGGGAGAACTTCAGAATATTTTATTCTGGTTATCAGAGAGTTTGCTGTTTACAAGGTGATCTATCTTGAGGGAAAAAAATACAAGGAATGGAATATTGTCCTTTAATATCACAGCAGAAGTCTGGAAATTAGTCTCATGGTGAACCTCCTAAATATCCAAACTGCCATTCACATATGGAGGAAACACCTGCACTAATACAAAATCCTTGGAGAATTAGGAACATGCTTCCCCTCCTCATTTTTGACACTGGGGGGCAATGTTGCTACATGAAATCCCATTGTGGGTGCCCGGGTGAGGTAATGAGTAAAACAACTGTAATTAGATATTTTGGAGGCCTGTTACGTTTTTTATTTTATTTCTGTAATAATTCTCTGAAAATATCTCAAGAAAATTTCACGTCTCAGGATGGTACAGTGTGCACTGGGAAGCTGAGACTTTTCATCAAATAATATATTGTTGGTTTTGTCACCAGAGAAACTGTTTAAACATTTCAAACCTTTGCTGAAAATGAAAACAAAATGAAATGGATTATATTATCATATTCATTGAACGTTTAAACAGTTAAAACATTATGGAGGTGAATACATCACCAACCCAGAAAATTTTACAGTTTCTCTTAATGGATCTCAAAAGAATTTAATTTCTCAAGGCACTAAAGTCCTTGCTGGGAAGCCCACTCTGGCTTTATGACAGATAACCCAGAGCAAACAAAATATTTTAAATAATACGAAGATATTTATTTATCATTCTGTTTCAAATAAGAGGGTGTATTTGGTCACAATATCACTTAAGTTTGATTTTCTGCATTGAGTGGCCCAACTATTCTAGTGATGTTCTAGTGAACTTTAGCTATCATTTATATTCCATAAAACAAAGGAAGGTTAAGGAGGATATCTTTTAGTAAAGATTCTAAGTCTGATGTGCTAGCCTTTTTATATGTTCTCTAATAAGTAAATTAGTTTCATCTCTGTTACCTTGAATCATTTTGAGAAGGGTCGAATTTTTTCAGTCTTTTCTGTTAGTTAACGTGTAGCAAACTGGTCCTTTTTCCTATTAACTCACAAAAAAAAAAAAGGTCCCAACCCTTTTCTTAGGACTGGAATGTTAATTACAAAATGCACATGGAAATGATGTTTACAGAAGTGTGCTTGTCAATGCGCTGAGGGGCTCTTTTATCCCAACAGATATGTAAATCAAGGCACAATTTCCCCTTTAAAGGAGCCCCATGGTTTCCCTTTTAATACAACACCCAGAAGCATAAACCTTGTAATATTTCCTAAATCTTATATATTTCCTATCACTTCCCTCCATTCATTAGAGCAATCAAAAATGTTACTAAACCTTGTGTCCTTACTAGTAGTCCTCAAAGGTAATGACTTCCACTATATGTTTTATTTCCAAATTCTGCTCTTAGATGCAGGAGATCTCATTAAAAAATATTCCTTTTAGGAGTCCAGTCTCAAGTGCAGTTGGTGGAGTCTGGAGGGGATGTGAGAAGACCTGGAGGGTCCCTCCGTCTCTCCTGCCAAGCCTCTGGATTCACCTTCAGCAGCTATTGGATGAGCTGGGTGAGACAGGCTCCAGGGAAAGGACTGGAATGGGTTGCAAGCATGGGTACATCTAGCACTTACTACTCAGACAAAGTGAAGGGTCGCTTCACCATCTCCAGGGACAATGCCAAAAGCCAGCTGTATCTGCAAATGAGCAGCCTCAAAGCTGAAGACACGGCAGTCTATTACTGTGCGAGAGGCACAGTGAGAGGAAGTGAATCTGAAGCAAAGCAAAAACCTTCCTTTTTTCAGAGCAGTTCTTCAACTTGACTGAGTCCCAGATCTTGGATTAGTCAGTGAAGATTGATTTCTAATGAGAACTTCAGGATGTTTTATTCTGGATTTCAAAAAGTGTGTTGTAAGAAAACAAACAAACAAACAAAAAAATCCAAGTACCCTGTCCCGATTTGGAGGTGATTTGGTTTCATTGGAACAGAAAGTAGTCTTTTAGTATCATAGTGGAAGGATGGAAATGGAACTTAAGGATAATCCTAAATATTCAAACTGCCAAACACACATTGGGGAAATATGCACTCTGAATGAAACTCCTTAGAAAATGAGGTTGATGTGTCCTTTCCTCAGTTTTAATTCTGGAGGCAATATTGTCTCAAAATCCAAACTGTCTACACATCTGGAAGAGGTATTTTCGGGAATAAAATATGTATAATTGTATATTTTCTTATTTTGGAATTGTCTAGTCCATCCCTCTGCTCAAGAAGCAGACCTTATACCAGTGATGGCGAACCTTTTAGAGACTGAGTGCCCAAACTGTAACCCAAAACCCACTTATGCATCTTTGGGTGCTGGGTGGGTGTGGCTCATTGGCTGGGTGTGGCCTATTGGCTGGGCGTGGCCCATTGGGTGGGTGTGGCTGTGGTAGTAATGGCAGACTGGGTGGGACTAAAAAGTTCAATCAATCAATTCTAACTTTGTAAGATATTTTTTCCAATGAGAAGTTGAAATTGACTGATTGATTGAACCTTTTTTTTTTGCACACAGTAGCAGAAGCCTAAAGAGAAAAGGTTTTATAAAACCCAGCTGAAGGCCTAGGACAGGGACGACAGCGCACGGGCCCACAGAGAGGGCTCTAAGTGCTTCCTCTGGCACCCGTGCCATAAGTTCACCACCACTGCCTTATACCTTTTCAGACAAATGGTTGTACAGTCTCTTCTTAAAAATGGAGGGGAGGGGGGAGGGAGGAAGATGAGGAGGATAACAGAGTTGGAAGGGACCTTGTAAATCTTGTACTCCAACCCCCCATTCAAGGAGGAGACCATATTCCATTTCACACAAAGGTTGTCCAATCACTTCTTAAAAACCTCCAGCGTTGGAACATCCACAACCTCTGGAGGCAAGTTGTTCCATTGATTAATTGTTCTCGCTGTCAGGAAATTTCTCCTTACACTCACCAAAAAGCTGAGAATGTTAATAAATATCATTGATGATTGGCACCAGAAAAAAATGTCTGAATATTTTAAATCTTTGCTGGAAATGAACCGTTTTCTTAGGATTGGAATGTGAATTACAAAATGCACATAGAAGTGATGCTCACACAAATGTATTAGTCAATGCCCTGAGGAGCTCTTTTATCCCAATAAATATGTAAATCAGGACACCATTTCCCCTTTAAAAGAGCCCCATAGATTTCCTTTTCAGACAACTCCCACCAACATAAACCTTGTGCTATTTCCAAAATCCTCTCTTGAAAAGTCCCTCCACTCATTAGAGTGAGCAAAATGTGGCGAAACATTCTCTTCATACTACTAGTCCTCAAAGGTAATTATTTCCCCCATATAGTTCCATGCTCTTCTCCTGTACGCAGGTGATCTGATTTAAATATAATAATAATCTTTTCTTCTTAGGAGTGCAGTCTCAGGGAGAGTTGGTGGAATCTGGAGGGGATGTGAGAAGACCTGGAGGGTCCCTCCGTCTCTCCTGTCAAGGTTCTGGATACAACTTCGGAAGCTACCACATGAACTGGGTGAGACAGGCTCCAGGGAAAGGACTGGAATGGGTGGCACACATCTATGATGATTCCAGTGGAAAGTTCTACTCTGACAAAGTGAAGGGACGCTTCACCATCTCCAGGGACAATGCCAAAAGCCAGCTGTATCTGCAAATGAGCAGCCTCAAAGCTGAAGACACTGCAGTCTATTATTGTGCGAGAGGCACAGTGAGAGGAAGTGAATCTGAAGCCAGACAAGAACCTTCCTTTCTTCAGAGCAGCTCTTCAAGTTGACTGGATTAGTCAATGAGGATTGATCTTTGTCTAGAGAGAACTTCAGAATGTTTTATTCTGGGTATCAGAGAGTTTACTGTAAGAAAATATAGGATGATGAAAATGGCTTAAAAATTCCCATTTCATCTTCCCTGTTTACAAGGTGATCTATCTTGAGGGAAAAAAATACAAGGAATGGAATATTGTCCTTTAATATCACAGCAGAAATCTGGAAATGAATCTTCAGGGTGAACCTCCTAAATATCCAAACTGCCATTCACATATGGAGGAAACACCTGCACTAGTACAAAATCCTTGGAGAATTAGGAATATGCTTCCCCTCCTCATTTTTGACACTGGGGGGCAATGTTGCTACATGAAATCCCATTGTGTGTGCAGGGGTGAGGTAGGGTGTAAAAAAACTTGTAATTAGATATTTTGGAGGCCAGTTACATTTTTATTTTATTTCTGTAATAATTCTCTGAAAATATCTCAAGAAAATTTCACATCTCAGGATGGTACAGTGTGCACTGGGAAGCTGAGAATTTTCATCAAATAATATATTGTTCGTTTTGCCACCATAGAAACTGTTTAAACATTTCAAACCTTTGCTGAAAATGAAAACAAAATGAAATGGATTATATTATCATATTCATTGAACGTTTAAACAGTTAAAACATTATGGAGGTAAACACATACACCAACCCAGAAAATTTTACAGTTTCTCTTAATGGATCTGAAAAGAATTTAATTTCTCAAGGCACTAAAATCCTTGCTAGGAAGCCCTATCTGGCTTTATGACAGAAAACCTAGAGCAAACAAAATGTTTTGGATAATAGAAAGAGAATTATTTATCATTTTGTTTCAAATAAGAGGGTGTATTTGGTCACAATGTGACTTAAATTTGATTTGGTGAGTTGAGTGGCCCAACTATTCTAATGACACAATGTTCCTTGAAGTTTAGCTGCCATTTATTTTCCATAAAACAAAGGGAGGGTAAGGAGGCTGTCTTGTAGTCTGATGTGCTAGCCTTTTTATATGTTCTCTAATAAGTAAATTAGTTTCATCTCTGTTACCTTGAATCATTTTGAGAAGGGCTGAAATTTTTCAGCCTTTTCTTTTAGTTAATGTGCAGCATTCCTATTAACGCACAAAAAAAAAAAAAATGGTTCCAACGCTTTTCTTAGGACTAGAATGTTAATTACAAAACGCACATGGAAATGATGTTTACAGAAGTGTGCTTGTCAATGCACTGAGGGGCTGTTTTATCCCAACAGATATGTAAATTGAGGCACAATTTCCCCTTTAAAGGAGCCCCATGGTTTCCCTTTTAAGACAACACCCAGAAGCACAAACCTTGTGATATTTCCCGAATCTTCTGCTATCGCTTCCCTCCATTCATTAGAGCAATCAAAAATGTTACTAAACCTTGTGTCCTTACTAGTAATCCTCAAAGGTAATGATTTCCACTATATGTTTTATTTCCAAATTCTGTTCTTAGATGCAGGCGATCTCATTAAAAAATCTTCCTTTTAGGAGTCCAGTCTCAAGTCCTGTTGGTGGAATCTGGAGGGGATGTGAGAAGACCTGGAGGGTCCCTCCGTCTCTCCTGCCAAGCCTCTGGATTCACCTTCAGCAGCTATTGGATGAGCTGGGTGAGACAGGCTCCAGGGAAAGGACTGGAATGGGTTGCAAGCATGGGTACATCTAGCACTTACTACTCAGACAAAGTGAAGGGACGCTTCACCATCTCCAGGGATGATGCCAAAAGCCAGCTGTATCTGCAAATGAGCAGCCTCAAAGCTGAAGACACGGCAGTCTATTACTGTGCGAGAGACACAGTGAGAGGAAGTGAATCTGGACCTTAGCAAAAACCTTCCTTTCTTCAGAGCAGCTCTTCAATTTGACTAGATTAGTCAGTGAGGATTGATCTCTGTCTAGAGAGAACTTCAGACATAGCTACCCATTAGCACCATTAGCTACCCATTAGCACCCAAAGGAAACACTTTAGACATCAGAATTAGTCCAAACCCTGTAATAAGTGGGCAATCTCCTTTGGAAAAAGAAATTTTACAATTAAATATTACAAAGGAAACCCAGACCCATAAACCTGCCCACACAGATATAGATGAACCCAGGAAGGATGGGGTACACCTCAGGAAAAGAACCATTTAAGGGATAAGCCAAACCAAATTTTAAAGTCGAAGGAAAAAGATTTTTTTTCCCCTTTCTCTCATTCTTCCTTCCCCGCCCTGAGCAATTCTGGGCAAACTGCCAAACTAAAAGAAACACGTGTCTTAGAAAACAATTAAACCCATCAACCTCACTAGGTAGAACTTTTCTAACACTAACAAGACAGACATAAACCATATAGAGAAACACATTTGCATGAACAAAGAAGTACTTCCCAAGGACAATATGAATCGCTACTGGTCCAAACAGACACAAACTAGATGGAATTAAATGAACTTTTTTTTTTCAAAAGCCAAATCATAATCTCAATAACTTGAGGGGTATAAGAACAGGACTCCTCACGTTGGGAAACTACTAGCTAGTCCAGAAACCATCCCTGTACCATTACTCCATCTGGTTTCTGTAAATAAATCTACTTTCTGGCAGCTTTTTTCATTCTGTGTCATTTCTTCCACCTCAGCCGAAGGTCTGCTTCCCAGCTGAAGACCCAAATCATGGGAAATCTTCCCACAATTCATAAAACAAATGTCATTAGATATTGTCTCATTCTGGAGGACTGATAATTATTATTTTTAAAAAAATATTTTTGTACTAATTCACTGAAAAGTTCTCAAGAAAATTTCACATCTAAGTGGGCTACAGTCTTCACAGTGAAACTGATATACATACATACCTACATACATACATATATACACATTGGTGGATTGTTGGTTTTGGTCTCCAGAGAAACTGTCTAGGTATTTCAAATCTTTGTTGGAAATAAAAACAAAAAAAGGGATTGCATTATCATATTCAGTCAACATATTAAACAGTTTTGGAGGCCAGATATTTTTATTATTATTATTTCCTTAATAATTCA